TTGTAAGTGGTTATCAGCTGATAGATATGGGCCAGTAGGGGCCTTCTGTGCTTAAGATAGGCTCAGAAGGCTCTTATCATCCATCCACATGATTATTCAGTTATAGATCCCATATGGTTGCTGCCGGGAGTTGCTTAATTAAAGTTAATATATGATTTATTAAATTTCCTATTAATTGTATTTTGTTAACTTCTACCCCAACCCTAAACCCAACCATCACAGTAATGTAAATACAGATCTGGATCTGGAGTCTTCTCTATTAGTATAGCATATTAATCATGTGAATGGATGATAACACCCTTGTGAGACAACCAGTAGGTGCAGAAGGCCGCTACTGGCCCATATCTATGAAGTGATAACCACTTATAACGCCCATTCAATTGAGTGATAACATTCGAGAAGGGTCTGGCTGCAGAGTTGCACTTGCATCTTCAGACTTGCACGCTCAGGCACCCACACTTCCTATGCAAGTGACGTCATTTACAATCAACACCTGTCACGTCACTTGAAATCAACACAAATAAACCAAAAGTAGTTTCAAGTTTGTTTGCGTTGACAGTGACGACGTTGTCAAATAATTTCTAAGTACTTAAGTTGTACACCATGACAGACCTGGCTGCTTTTCATCTTTAAAATGAATGTGACAACACAGATGGCTTCTGTTTTTTTTACGCTACCAGCTGACCGCTTACCTCCATGTGGACAGCTTTTCCGCTGTTACCAGTTTGCCCATTGGCTTATCGCGTACGTCAGTGGACTTGAGACACAGAGAGGAGTTGATGACATGGTTCGAGTCTAGTAATATACGGTTCATAAAAGCAAGTAAAACAAAAGGCAAATAAATAAAATAAAAAGTAAATAACATTGTGAGAATGTGGTAAGGTATGAAAACATAGTAAAAAAATCAGGTGGTCAAGAGGGCTTTTCTTTTTCTGGGTTGCTTTTGAAAACACTATCGGTTGGGTTAAGGAAAGGTGGTGGGGGCTGGTTAATCAGTGCTTTTAAAAACAGTGTCAATTGGGTTTGACCATATTGGTCGGTCACTCAGTCAACAGCGGCCTCTGGTGAATTTACACGAGAACAGCAGGCTCAAATGGCACTCGCGAGAGAAATGTGAGAACTGAAAAAGCGAAAACAGCAGCCTCTGGTGGATTCGTGAAAAAAAAATGCAAAAAATAGCCTTCTGGGACATATTTTATGCTCTTCAGAAATGTAGACAGGGTTACATATCTATAAAGAGTCTGGGTTGCTTATATTCTGTCTTAGTGAGCGATTTCAGGTGATTCTTATTCAAGTTAACTTTCATGCAGTGCATTATGGGATTGAAAATGCATGAAGAATGGTTGAAAGCAGCGGAGAGCATCAGAAAAGTAGGGCATTCCTCAACCTTTTGCAAAAGTCAACCGAAAAATGTCATGAATCGCTGTGATAAATAGGAAAGGCAAGATGTTGACATGTTTAGCAATATTTTTCTAGATTGCTAAGCTGAAATCATATACAGTATGTATTCGCTCACATTTTCAGTTTACACAACCATCTTGAACCATTTTTTCCTGTTTATTTTTTCCGTTGATCAATTCTTCTAAACAACTATTTCTAACATGTAGCAGTGGTGCAGTAACAGCACTAGCAGCACTGATCATAGATTTCACACTGTAGTGGAAACACACAAATAGTCTAAGATATGACATGAGAGACATCCTGAAGCGAGGTTAACGCAAATGACACAACACAAATTATAACGTATGTAACACGTTTCTCACAAATTGCTCAAGTTTAAAAATCTGAAAAAATTGCACCTCTATAACCTATTATAACCTATAAGACAGGGTTGCTTTTAGTAGTGATCATCATCCATGTGTCCACACCATTATTTAGCCTTTGATAGCACATAAAGCACAGCTACTGTACCCTCTCAAAAAAATCCATGTCAGCCATTTTGCAACAAAATTGGAGACATTTTGTCTGTTGTGAAGTAAATTCGATGAAGTGAGTAAGCTTAAAATGTTTAATCCATCTAATTTCATGCAAATAGCCTGATTAAGGCATGTCATAATCATAATTATAACCAAGGCTTAATTTGTGCCGGAACAAGCTGGATACGGATCCGGCACCTTTGAAATCTGATCCAGCACGTCATTTTACCGACCCCCCTGCTCTTTACTTTCTTAACTCTCCCCAACCTTTTTCACTTTCGTCCATAACACCTCCCTTTTGTCTGTTACACCCCCCCCCCAACTCTTCACTACACCACGGACACAGTTTTCACCACTTCACTCCTCACTTTCATCTGCGACATCCCCTCCACTATTCAATTGCATCTGTGAACCCCCAAATTCACTTTTGTCTGCAACAACATCTCCCCTGCTCCTGCTCTTCACTTTCGTCCATGACACCCTCTCCACTCTTCAATTTCATCTGTGACCCCGCACACCCACTCTTAAAGATCGCCCGCTACCTAGCCTTCCCCACCACCTCCTCGCTCTTCACTTTTGCCTGCGACAGCATCTCCCCCGCCAGCTCTTCACAGCAAGAAGGTCGCTAGTTTGAGTCACGACAGTTGGCATTTCTGTGTGGAGTTTGCATGTTGCACGGAGTGGGTTTCCTCCGGGTGCTCCGGTTTCCCCTACAGTTCAAAGACATGCGGTATAGGTGAACTTAACAAACTGAATTTGCCATAATGTATGAGTGTGAATGTAAAAAGTGTGTATGGGTGTTTCCCAGTACTGGGTTGCAGCTGGAAGGGTATACGCTGCATGCATAAAACATGTGCCGGAATAGTTGGCAGTTTATTCCGCTACTGCAACCTCTGGAATAGAGATTAAGCCGGAGGAAAATGAATGAATGAATGAATAAATGAAAGAATGAATGAATGAATGTATATTATCATTTTAAGTGGTTACTTTGAACAATACATACATTGCATAATGTTTCACTCATCCTCTATAAAAACTTTTTAAATCTCATTTGCACCTGAGAAGATGCTTCATCACACACTATACATCAGTAATGTAATGTCTGCTTATATACATCTTAAGACCAAAAACAGCACAAGTGTGAATGAGATTCAAAAGTGACATCATGAAGAAAGCCTTTATTTAATTTAATTTCAATACAAATGCAGATGGCTTCTGAAGACATTCAGATTACAGTGCAATAGTCACATGGATAGTATACTGCCTTAATGATGTTTTGGTCATTTTTGGATGGTCTGAACACTGTGTTTTACTATACAGAAAACAACAGCTCACATAATGTGCAAAACATCAACAAAATTATCTTTGGTGTGTATTTATCATGCCAATATTGTCATTTTGGGCAGCGAACGTCTCAAAGCAGGAGCGGAAAAGCGATACAATATATTTTTTGATCATTGTTACATAATTAGTATGAGTAAAGCTTGTATAAATCCAGCTCAACCTATTATTTTTTGTTAGAAAAGATAATATTCTATTACATTTTACTCATGTTGTTTCAAAATGGTTGGTTTGCTTTATTATCTGAAATATAAATGCTTTTAGCCTTCAAAACCCATAATAAATGAGTGTTATATGCCTTGTCTACAAGTCTAATTAAGTGATAACAGCTAAAAATACGGTAACACTTTATTTTTATTGTCCATTTGAGTATAAGTAGACTGCCTCCTTAACATCTGTTGACAATGTGCTTCAACAGGCATTTAACTGACTATAAGAAACTTTGCAAGTACATGTCAACCTACACTAGCCCTAACCCCAACCTAACAATCTACTTATCTAATGAGAATTAGTTGGCATGTAGATGCAATGTAACTTAAATTTACTTTTACTTTGTAGGTATTTGGACTAAAAGTGAGGCAAAAAAATCTAAGACAGAGACATTTTACTTATATTTTTGCAATTTATGTATTATTTTGGGTCTCTTTTTAATACTTGAAACTACTCAAGACTTGAGTTCTAGTGTAATAGTAATATGAGCATTCTCAACACCAGTTAGGCCAGAGCTGAACTCCTTGTTTACAAACCTGTAAACACTACTGTTTTTCCTGGGAGTCACCAGTATTTCTGACCCATCTCCCGCCACCTTCCCATTCCCCCGTCCCCACCCTTCCCCCGGTACTCAGCTTTTTGGTACAGTCTTAACCACCTCCAGGTCACCAACTTTGGTATGGTATCCTATCGCTGCGTCCGCTCGAAATCCGGTGCATAGTACAATTACCCCAAACCCCCCCGGTCTCCGGATTATCAGAGACATATGTTGGCAGGTTTGTATATTTTCTCTCTATGAAACAGATGCGAAATCCTATTGAGTAACAATTTTGATTTCTCAGTTAATTCCATGACGTTTAACCTCTGCTATTATCCAACCCAGGCTCATTCTAAAAATGTATTGCTTTATATATTTCTGGAGAGCACCAAATACATCCCAGGAGCTATGTTTTTCAGCAGTTTTTGTTTTCACAAATACACCAGAGACCGCTGTCGACTGACTGACTGATCAACTGACCCATCCTCCTCCTTCCCTAAACCCAACCAATAGTGTTTTTTGAAAGCACCGATTGAACCAATTACCCATTTATATAAACCCAACCGATAGTGTTTTCAAAAGCAATCTAGAAAAAGAAAAGCCCTCGTGGCCATCAGATTTTTACTATGATCTCACCCTGTTATTTACTTGTTTATTTTATTTTTTGCATTTTGTTTTTGTCATACCCGCTTTCTGGAACCGTTCTTCGCCCTACTGGAACCCTGTTATCGTAGTCAACTCCTCTCTGCATCTCAAGTCTGCTGATGTATGGGGTGAGCTACTGGGCAAACTGGTAACTGCAGAAAAGCTGTCCATACGGAGGTAAGCGGTCAGCGGGTTGGCACAAAAAAAAATAAATAAAAACGGCGCCATACCGCCCCGTAGCAGTCATTTTAAAGATAAAATGCAGCCATCTGTACCTCTGGCTACAAAATTCAGAAACTCCAGAAAAGTATATAGGGTTTTCACTATTCATAGCATGAGAGAAAAAGTACCTGCAAGTATTTGTGCATGTGCCAGGAGGCCTGTTTTCCATCATTGACTGCCTCCACGGTGGTATTAGCCAGACCGGCCACATCGCCCCCAGCGAACACCCATGGCTCACTGGTCTGCATGCTCTCTAGGTCCAGATCTGGAAGACCCCATCTGTTTAACCTGACGGGAGCCATGGCCTCCATCACTGCACACAGAAAGATGCAGTGAAGCAGAGGAAAACTACAACATTTGAACACAAGACTCAAGAGCTCCAGAGTACAGGAAGATATTTCCATCACACAAAAACATACTGATTTCTGTAGGCTGGGTTTATAGAGTAATACAATTATGGATGTGCTGCTGTTTCTTATGGTATTTATGAATAATTTGACTTCAAAACAAAATAAAAAAGGGAAATGTGAAGCCATTAGATTACAATAGATCCATACAATTAGTTTTATGTTCACTGAAAAAAAATAAATCAAATAAAAAAGCAGACATAACAAATCGTTATTTGACAACACTCTTATTTTTTTATGAATATTTAACATCTGATTTAAACACATTAACAAATTACAATCCATTTGACCAAATGTCTAAGTGTAATCCAAGAGAATCGAACAAAACAAAGCACAAAACAATATTTTTCATGCAGATGTACAGTACAGCTGGAAAAAGAATTACTGAACATGTCATGTTTATTCCTGGAAATAATATTTTTTTAAGGAAGCTGTCAACATTGAATTAAATCAGATTTTGGTTAAATTTTAAACAATACAAACATAAAATAAAATAAAACAAAACAAATCTTTAAAAAAAAGGTATTTGTAATAACAATGGAATGACACAAGAAGAAAGTGCTGAACTACTGGAATATATTTAATACTTTATATAAAATGCTTTTTGGTGATGGCAGCTTAAAGATGCCTCTCATATGGAGAATGAAGTCACATGAATTGCCCAGGTAAGAGTTTTTCACAGACTTCAACAGAGTGTAAAAGTCTTAATGGTTCAGAGGGTCTCGTCTATCAAATCTGATCTTAATTTAGTAATTCTATAGCATTCAGGTCAGGAGATTTGCTGGGCCAATCCACCGCTTGATTTTCTTTCTCTGAAAGCATTAGAGTTTCCTTGGCTGTGTTTTGGATTATTGTCTTGCTGAAATGTCCACACTGGCTTCATTTTCATCATCCTGCTAATGTAGATGTTGGACTGAAGCAGTTAATATTAATTTACAATGACAAAGGGCAGAGGGTTGCTGAAGAACTGGTGAGAGATTTCAGCTGCTGTCTGGGCTTTCACTGCCTTTCACACCTCCCTTTCTTCATGTGTTTAATACTTTTTCCCTGTGTCATTTTATTTTATTACACATAACTTCATTTGTAAACAAATTAGATTTGTTTTGTTTTTTTGTTTTTTGCATATATTGATTTCTTTAGTTGCTATCAACCTCCGGTCATAACTTGGCTATAGGTGAATTGGGTAAGCTAAACTGTCTGGACGGTTTATTCCGCTGCGGCGACCCCGGATTAATAAAAGGACTAAGCCGAAAAGAAAATGAATAAATGAGTATTGTCTTTAGTGTATGAGTGTGAATTAGAGTGTATGGGTGTTTCCTAGTGATGGGAAGAGGCTTGAAGGGCCTCCACTGTGTAAAACATATGCTGGATAAGTTGGCGGTTCATTCATCTGTGGCTGAAGCTGAAAGGAAATGAATGAATGAATAAAATAATAATAATTTCACAGAGGGCTGATAAATTTGCCTAAACTGCAAGTGATTCGGATCATAGCTCATGCAATTACACAAGCTTATTTCTCAATTTTAGACAGAATATTGAGAATATGGAGTCTAAATGCAGCATAATATAATAATAATACAATAAATGGTAATTCAAACACAAACTGTGTGAAACAAAGTAAAAAATGTGGAAAAAGACCTGCGGAAAAACAAACGGATAAAAGCTGATAGACTGGAAATGGCAAGGAAATAATATGAAGTCACTGACAAGACAAATGACGACGATCTTTTTTTCCCCCCACCGGCGTTTCTTTTTCTTTTGGAGAGGTTAATGTAACATCTCCTGGTGCATTTCATTCACTGTTAGTAGCGTCAGCAGGAAGATACTCTGTCAAACTGATCTACATTCAGAAATGACCAGCCCTCTTCTCTTTTGAACACACATCATCCATCTTCTGAAGGCACGGACCGCGGCCTGCATTTATCAATGAGGTGGAAAAAATACAAATACAGATCTAAGGACAGGAGGCCCAAGATTTATTGCACATTATGGGGATTACTAAGGGGAAATGGAACTGCTCTCTCTGCTTATGCAGTAAAAATAAAAGTCAGCTTTATTTTGGACAATGTTGGATAAAAATTTTTTTATAAAAATCACAGATGACAGAAAAATATTATACATGTGCATTAGTTAATATGGATATTTAAGCTGAAATTGTAAAAATGTTTATTATTTTTATAATATAATATAATATAATATAATATAATATAATATAATATAATATAATATAATATAATATAATATAATATAATATAATATAATATAATATAATATAATAATAAACTGAAGTTAAACTCTGAAAACTGGACTGACAGTTTCAATTTACTAGAATTTCCATGTTAAGGTGCTTTGACACAATCTACAATTTAAAACCGCTATAGAAATAAATATGAATTTAATTGAAAAATAAAATAAAATAAAATAAAATAAAATAAAATAAAATAAAATAAAATAAAATAAAATAAAATAAAATAAAATAAAATAAAATAAAATAAAATAAAATTAAATAAAATAAAATAAAATTAAATTAAATTAAATTAAATAAAAAAATAGAAATAAACTAAATAAACAAATTTGAACAAAACAAGATACAACAAAACAAACAAACAAAAAAACAACACAACACAACACAACACAACACAACACAACACAAAACAAAACTAAACAAAAAACAAAACAAAACATCCTTAAAGGGACATTTCACTAAAACATTAATCAAAACCTATTTGAGATACTTTATTATGTTCAACATTTAAAAATAAATATATATTTTGCGTTCAACAGAAGAAAGAAACTCAAAGTTTACCACATAAGGGAGAAAAAAAATTAAGAGGTAATTTTAATTTTTAAGTGAACTATTCCTTTAAGTGCTTTGAAATACACAGCCTTGTTCACATAATTTCAATTGAAACATGAAGAAAGGGCGGGGCATAAATCAGCCCCTCCCACTTTATAAAAATATGTAATAATGTTTTGTTTATATCACAAGCTCTAGCAATCAGAGTCATTAAGCTAAATGTGTAATGTGTATTTTTATTTATATAGCGCATTTATTGTGTATGACCATACACCCAAAGCGCTTCACAATGATGAGGGGGGTCTCTCCACACCACCACCAGAGTGCAGCATCCACTTGGATGATGCGACGGCTGCCACAGGACAACGGCGCCAGTGCGCTCACCACACACCAGCTATTGGTGGAGTGGAGAGACAGTAAAAAAAGCACATTTGGCTATGATAGCAGGGTTGATTTCTTTAAATAATTATCTCTTTTTCATTTAACGCATTAAAGCAACAATAAAATATATTTATTTAAATAGATTTAAAATAGATACAGTAGTTACTAATATGGGTCATTTTAACATTATTCCTTTTATCAGGTTAAGAAACCTGAAGAAACGTACATTTTTGGCTCAAGTTAAATATCTAGGACTTGAGTGAAAGATGCAACTGACATGAACTCTGCACGTTTGTGTAAAATACATTGTGCATTCCGTGTCATCCATACCACCTAGTTTGAATTTGACTTTATTTGGAATCTACACACAAATGATTAAATTCACATTTGGAATGAAGCATATGCCATATTCAATCCAATCAAAACTTATATATAAAGTGTTTTGCACGTTATTGCACTACAATCAAAATCAGAAAGAGTTCAAATGTTGAGTATATGGGAAACAGTCTGTAGTCAACATGCTGTTATACAATATATTGTGTACTTTTCCAAAAAAAGTTGGTATGTGTGAGTAATACATTTTCAATAAAGCGATCTGATTATTAGAATAATTGAGAACAGTTTGTTTATTGCAAAATTGAGCTGTTCTTAAATCCTCACAGGGTTGGCATCATTTCTTCAATTCCATTTGAAGGTTTGGCATTGAGTTATTATATAGGGACCAATTGGGACCATTAGGAAGCCACTTGGACGTAGCAGGGACCAATAGGGGCCAATAGCAAGCCACTTTGGTGCAGTAAGGGCCAAAAAGAAGCCACTCTGCTGCTGCGGGGACCAAAAAGAAGCAACTTCATTGCAGCATGAGCCAATAGGAAGCCACTCTAATGTTGAAGAGACCAATAGGAAGCAACTCTAATGCAGAAGCGACCAGTAAGAAGCAACTCTGATGCAGCAGAGACCAATAAAAAGCCACTTTGTTGCAGCAGGGGCCAATATGAAACCACTCTGATGTGGCAGGGACCAATAGGTAGTCACTATGCAGCTGCGGGAACCAATAAGAATAAAGCAACAACTTTATTGCAGCAAGAGCCAATACAAAGCCACTCTGATGTGGAAGGGACTAATAAAATACAACTCTGATGCAGCAGGGACCAATAAGAAGCAACTCTAATGCAGCAAGGGAAAATAGAGAGCCACTCTGATATAGCAGGGACCAATGGGGGCTAAGAAGAAGCCGCTCTTATGTAGCAGGGACCAATAGGGGCAAATAGGAAGCCACTCTGATGCAGCAGGGACCAATAGGAAGTGGCTCTGATGTAGTAGGGACTAAAAGGAAGTTGCTTTGATGTAGCAAGGACCAATAGGGGCCAATGAGAAGCCACTTTGATGCAGTAGGGACCAATAGGAAGTTGGTCCGGTGTAGCAAGGACCAATAGGGGCCAAGAAGAAGCCACTCTAATGCAGTAGAGACCAATAGGAAGTCACTCTGATGTAGCAGGGAACAATAGGAGCCAATGAGAAGCCACTTTGCTGCAGTAGGGACCAATAGGAAGTGGCTCTGATGTAGCAGACCAATAAGGGCCAATGGAAGACACTTTGCTGCAGTAGGGACCAATAAAAAGTCGCTCTGATGTAGCAGGGGCCAGTAGGAAGCCACTCTAATGCAGTAGGGGTCAACAGGAAGCCACTTTGATGCTTCAGGGGACCAACAGAGGCCAAGAAGAAGCC